AAGAGTATCCTTGCCTGGTTTCTGTTTGCAAAGGGAATGCTTTCAGTTTCTGGCTGTTGAGACTACCAGTGTTAACTGTAAGTCTGTATATATGCCCATATTAGGTTGAGGAGTAAGCCCAGGACCCTTTAGTTCTATGAAATTAGGCTATCTCATATTTAGTGTTCATTTAGCAAGTTAAAGTATATCTTGTCTTTAAACTTTTAGTTGAACATTTTTCTTTCTTATATTATGTTCTTGTGAAGTAAAGTATAGCTACTGTTTATATAAATAAAACATTAACAAAGATATAAATTATCTGATGAACCAGCCACCTGGTAAGGTGTATGTTGAAATCACGTTTTTCTTTTTTTGACATTTTAATGTGATAGCACAAAGAAACAGAGATATTCTGTTCTATTCTTAATAATTAGGAAAAATGCATTCTAATATAGAGTGGTGTACGGGGGTTGTTGGCTTATGTATGGGTGTTCATGAATTACTAGCTTTTCTCAGGCATGGTTATGTAGATTGTGGGTATGAAGTGCTATTCTGTTGCCAATTATTACTTCAAAAGCCTGGCTCCAACAAGGTCAGTTAAATCCTAGCGGGCTCTCGTGGTGCTAACATTTTAGAGGATGTGAAATTTGATGAATGTCTACAGTTAAAGGTCACCTCTATTCCACCCTGGTCATTCAAGCTCAGTGCTAATAAAGTAATGAGAACTCAAGGACCCATAAGCAGCTACAGTGTAAAGTGTTTAGACTTGAAAATGTATCATCAGAAACTTTTCAGATAAACTTGAGATTATTTTTACTATATGTGAAGTATATACAATAAAAATTAAAATGCTGAAGACTCTGAAATCTTTAGGGGCTACTGAAAGTGCCAGCCTTTTAAGCTGTAAGCTGGGATCTATATTACCACCAGATTCCCCAATTAGCTAATAATATTCTAGGATGTGAATGCCCCCTGCCTGTGGCTCAGAACACCAATAGATTGCAGTGCAGTTGCAGAGCTCCCTCCCACATGAGGACAAGCTTATGATGTCTGATAGCAGAAGGTCTCCACTAGAGCATCTGCCCCTCCATGGTCACTGCCCAAAAAGCCTCTCCATAGAGCACTTGTCCCATCGAGCACTCTTCCCCAGAAGCTGTTCTCGGTGCCTTGTTGGACAGAATGTATCAAAATCCTTAAAAGTGGGCAGTCACTGAAGAATTCTACTGCTGTGAACATATTTTAAGGAAATACTGATACTCCAAATACTCTGAAAAATGTTATGCTTTGAAGTATGACACACACACACACACACACACACACACAAGCACCCCAATATGTGTGCTAATTCCTAATCTCTATGCCTGTGGTTAAATCTCATTTGGGAATGAGTTGTCATTGTTATGTTAATGAAGCAGATTTAGTATAGAGTGTACTTTGAGTTGATCTCTTTTGATATCTAAAAGTGATTAAGCAAATCAGCAGAGCAGAAGTGGGTAAGATAGATGCCAGGGAATGTGTAGATCTCCAAGAAACCAGGCAGCAGCAGGAGAAGCAATGATCTCCCTCCAGAGCTAACAAAGAGAGAAAACCTTCCCCAGAACTAGTGCTCTGGGTTTGGACGTCTAGCCTTCTAAACTGTGAGAAAATACATTTCTGTTTGCTAAAGTCATCGACTTGTATTTCTATTATAACAGCACTAGAAAATACATGCCTTTAAAATTAGAAGCAACATCAACATTAATAAGGATTTGTCTAAATAAAAACACAGTACTTTAATGTCTCGCAAATGTTTTCTAACAATTAATAACTTTATTTAGAAGTACATAGTTTTTAAACGTTCACACATTTTCAGTGGCAAAATCAGTTGCAAAATAGAATTTAGTAGCATCTCATATTGAGCAAAAATATACACAAAAATGGTAACAGCTCTATTTTTTGCTTATATATTTAAAGTACACATGGAAGAGCATTGGTAGTATTGTGGGTTATGCATTGGGCTGCCAACCACAGGTCACCAGTTTGAACCCACCAGCCACTCTATAGGAAGAAGGTGAGGTTGTCTACTCCTCTAAAGATTAAAGTCTTAAAAATCCAAATGGGCACTTCTACTCTGCCCTATCAGATCACTGTGAGTGGTAATTTGCTGAATTGCAACGTAATGGAGGAGCCCTGTTGGCAAAGTGATTAAAGTGCTTGGCTGTAAAACAAAAGCTCAGGTAGTAGCTGTTCCATAGGAGAAACATGTGGCAGTCTGCTTCTGTAAAGATTTGCAATCTTGGCAACCTTATGGGGCAGTTCAACCCTGTCCTTTACGGTCAGAGTTGATAAAATGGCAGTGGATGTGGATATGAGTCATTTAATATATTTTCTAATTTCCCTTGCTAGGGTATCTACTACATGTAAACCACAAGGATAAATGAATAAGCTATTTGAATCATAGGCTCCCAAACTTATTTTGCTACTGCCCTCTTTTCAGGAAAGAGAGAGACAGACAAAGACAGAAAGAGAGAGAATTAGCCTATAATCTAGGACAAAATTGTAGGTATCTTTTGTAGTTCTAACATTCTAGTGCTCCACAGAAACTGATATTGTCCACTTTAGGAAACACTATTTAAATGAACAGAAGAGAACATTCCTCTCCCGATTTCTTACTTAACTTTCGGGTTAGATTTTAATTCATTCTGCTTAGTTTGTAGAAAAATAACTCATGCTGAATTAAATATTTGATAATTAGAATCTGGATCTCAAATTCCACCAAAATGGATACCTGGTGGAGTATAAGGTTGAGATATTAGACAATAAAACATCATATTGTTTGTGCTTGAGGAAAAGTTGTTTGTGTGAGATTTTTCACAATGTAATGTGGAGAAAGTGGTTGACAGACTTGGATGGGCAAAAGAAGATTTCCGTGAACATTTATTTCACCAAGTACCCTCAAAAGAGAGCAGAGGATCGGTACTCTTTGTCATGAAGAAAATATCTTTGTTCTTCTTAGAAGTGTCTGTTTCTCATGAAGTCCTGGTGTATCTTGCATTTCCAATCAGGGAACTACCAATATTCTTTTTTAAATAGCTTGATTAACATACAATTTGCATATCATACAATTTAATAGTTCAATCACATTAAGAAGAGTTGTAAAAACTTCACCGCAATCAATTTCAGAACATTGTCTTCGTTCTTGTACTTGTTAGCTCCTCATTTCCCCCAACCCTTCCCTGCCATTGCCCTAGGTAATTATTAATCCAATTTCTGTCTCTAAAAGTTTACCTACCTTGGACTTAATATATAGAAAATCACACAAAACAAAAACAAGAAGGGAACCAAAAAAATGACAAAATAAAACAGGAAAACCTCAAAATGAATGAAAATTAAAACATTAAAATGGGTCAAAAAGGAAATCAAACAATAAGACGTTATATTTCAGACTAATTACATATGCCATAGTCAACTTTACAATTTTTTCTACTAGCAAGGTCATTCACATCCCAAACTATGATCAGAGGGGATTCACTAAAGGCTTAATCCATGTGGGAACCTTGCGAATGGATTTTGGACTTCCACTATCATCCATGCCTTCTGATGTAAGCTTGGATAGGGTACCCTCCTCCAAATTTTGATTTTGTTATTTACAGTCCTTGATCATGCAGGCTGGTGTGAATCTTCCAAGGGGACATGGTTGACACCTCACTTATGGCTGCTTGTTTTAAGACAAACCTTTAAGATCCCAGACTGTATTCTTTCTGATAGCTGGGCACTGTTAGTCTGGGTGAACTAGGGAAACAAATCCACAGAAACTCTTAAGTATAAGAGAAAGTTTTATATAAAGGGTACGTGTACTTTAAGAAAGCATCCCGACCCAGTGCTGCCCAAGCCCATAAGTCCAACATATGTCTGACACTGTTCTACAACGTCCTCCTCCATCTCACAAAACACACGCAATGACGGCGACTGCAGGAGGAAAGCCGATCGGTGAGTGTGTAAGCCTCTCAGTGCTGGCAGGGGTCTCTGCACGTCTGCTCCAGCACCCAGGGCTGCATCGGGGTAGGTCCATGTGGCTTCTCCTCAGGGATGTCTTGCAGGAAGTGAGCCTTGCCAGCTGAAGCAGGGAACTGGCTAAGGCGGCTGACCCTGATCCAACCATCAGAGAGCAAGAGACCCAAGAACTAGAAAGGCAAGGCTTACCGAGCCATTTATCTCTCCGCCCTTCAATTAACCCCACATGTGTTTATTGGCCAGGTTGGCACAATGAACCTTAACTATCTCAAGCACCATCTGATTTCTTCACCACACTTTGCTATATAGCACATAGATCTTCAGTGATACCTTCATGAGGGCAAGTATCAAGTAAGACCATGTCATAAGAAATAATTGCTCTAAGATTAGGGCTGCAATTAAATGTGAGCTCAAAATCCATTCATCTAGTTATTATGTGTATGTCTTGGGTTCACTTTAGTAACATCATTATCATTTTATGACAAACAACAATATAAGTCATCCCCCAGGGGCATAAAATTATTCTATTGATAAATCATTAATTTAGGCAATGAACTGCCCAATATTCTTATCTTAAATTGTAGAAAGAGAAATATGGACAACCTCAATGATTTATTCATTTTAATATTTATTTGCAGTGTTTCCAAAGTTTAGTTTTTACTAAAAGTGAGATAACTTGCCAAATGTTATTCTTTAGCATAATCTTACGTAAATTTTAGGTTAAGCGTGTGATCTCTGGAATCAGATTGCTTTACTTTATTTCATTTTTAATTTCCTGCTTTCTATTTACCTTTCTGTGCTTCCTTTCAGTCACCTCAACAAGGGAAGTATTGGTAATTATATTTCTCTCATTAGGAGGGTTGTCAAGAATAAATGTGTATATTTATTAAACTTTCTTAGGACAGTTAATGACCCTTAGTAAGCGCTTAACTAATAATAGCTATAGAAAGGGAGTCATGTTGGTGGTGGTAGTAAAACAGTACTTTATATATGAGAGCTCTAATTCTTGTAAATTTGAAATTTTACAGCCGTGAAACACACAAAATCGCAGTGTTTTACATTGCTGAGGGTCAAGAAGACAAGTGTTCCATCCTCTCCAATGAGCAAGGGAGCCAAGCCTATGAAGATTTTGTTGCTGGACTTGGATGGGAGGTAATACAGTAGGTGTTTATTGACCAACACTATTGGAAGATGAGTATAAACCAGACATTGATTTCATTTCTGTTTTTACATTCAAAGTGCAGGGATAGTATTCTTTTTTTTTTTTAGGGATAGTATTCTAAAGTTGAAAAATATGCTGACTTTGACATCTTCTCTTTTCAGCTCTTGATTCTTGAACTTTTGTTACTCTGTTTTGTTCTTACTATTATTTCATATGCTTTTTGCCAGAACTGAGCTTATCCAGCCAGAGACAGTTTATAGTAAGATAAGACAAAATGTGGACAGAGAAGAAAAGAGTTTGATCACAATGTGGAGATTGGAGGAGAAATCAATGGCTTAATGTGTGTAACGATGAAGAAAGAGTTAGAGGAAGCCAAATATTGGAATGAAAATTAAATATGGTAGCCATTATGGTTTAGATAGTAATCCATTTCTCTAAGGTAGATCCCATGATGATTATTATGGAAAAAGGTGGTTGTTTTTCTAAATAATATTCTGACATACGGATTGTGTTTTTGCATACACATATACATATTTACATATACAAATACATATTTATCTCCAGGAATATAAATTGGTAGGGAAATATATCCTGAGAATCTAAAAGAATTCAGAGTAGTAAAAGTAGAAAGTAGTGTCAGAGATCAGGGCTAACAAGTGGAAATGAGGTTGGGTAAGAGCACATCAAGTTTAATACCTTGTACTTTTTGAAAAGGTCAAGTAATTTGTGACTTAAAAGAGTTATTACTATTCCAATAAATCATTGTTGTTCTTACTGATAAAGTTACTTCTTATTCATTGTAGAATATGCTTATTATTTATTATATATATTTCTAAACCATATACTTTTAACAAAAGTTCTAGGAAAATCTAAATAATTCAGTGTATGAGGGGATCCCCTCCCCGCCCCCCAAAATGGAAAAAGTTTCACTGGGTGAAGCTTTCCTAGTACACATTTTTCCCACTGGACAAGCGTCCAGTAGCTCACTCTGAGTTAGTGCAACCAGTGGCATCACCTGGGAAGTTTCACTTTGGTCATAGTGAATTTTTTTGTAAAAAGTTTCATTCTAATCTCGTTTTTTGTGATGCCAATTTAAGAGAACAGTGTGTGGTGGTGGTGAAATTTTGTTTTCTTGGTAAAAATGCCTCAGAAACTGTTGTGATGTTGAATACAGCTTATAAGGGCAGTGTTATGGGAAAAACACAAGTGTATGAGTAACTTTCTTGTTTCAAAAATGGTGACATGTCGATTGATGACAACAAACTTCATTCTGGACGTCCATCAACATCCTGAAGGGATGAAAATATCTAATCATAGTGCACTTGTAGTTCATTTCACCAGGTCAGACTGTTAATCAAGCTTTCTATTTAGAGGTTCTGAAAGGATTGTATAACAGTGTGGGACAAAAAGGACATGATTTGTGGCAGACGGGGGACTGGTTTTGCCACCACGATGATGCACCTGCTCACGCAGCCATTTCAGTGTGCCAGTTTTTGACACACAAAAAACAGCATTCTTCTCTTGCCACATGCACCTTACTCACCTGACTTTGCTCCATGTGACTTCTCTTGCTTCCTCAAATGAAGAGGGACATAAAAGGACAGCGATTAGACGACAAAGAAGAAGTGAAGAAAAAACCAAGGGAGCTGCTATCAGCCATCCAAACAGATGACTTTGAAAAATGTTTCCAGGAATGGATCAGATTTGATAAATGTATTAAGTGTAATTGAGAGTACGTTGAAGGTGATAAGGTTGTTTTGAGGGGAAAAATAGTAATACATAGCTTTGGAAAAAATCCATTTTGGTGGGGTACCCCTCATATATATTGGTAGTATTTGGCATAGAAGCGATTCTTCTGTTTCTTTCTTTCCAATGTGTTAGAAGTGAACACTTTCCTGGAAGTGAAAAAAAAAATTAAATCTAGGCTCTAAGCAGTGAGCATTTACACTATAGCTTTAAGTTGAATTGTGACTAATAGACTTTGGTGAATGTATCAATTAGAACAAACCTTTTTCAATGCAGACCTAGCTGTTAGATTGTATCGCAACCCTACCTGTTGAACCTCATATCCTATAGTGCTCTCCTTTGAGTGCTCCTTTGATTGTTTTGGGCACCATACCAACCATTTGAAAAATCAGAAAACCCCTCAAACCATGTTTGCATGGTGAGTTGGCAGAGGAAAAGGTGAGAAGCATGCATCAACTTTTGAAAGTGATTTTCTTTAGTCAGTAAGATCACGGAACATTTTTATATGTAAAGTTCTGTTTCTTTAATTTCTTAATTTTGCCCAATGCTGGATTACCTTTATTTGTAATCAGAAAAACATGACATAAAAGTAAAAATAGAGTGGTTTTTAATCCACATTTCTACTTAGTGAATCAGAACAGCTTATTTTGGTCTTCATCCTTTTTCCTCTTTATAACCTGTACCAGGTGGACCTCTCAACTCACTGTGGTTTTATGGGTGGCCTTCAGCGCAATGGCAGCACAGGGCAGACAGCCCCCTACTATGCTACCTCAACCGTGGAAGTGATTTTCCATGTTTCCACAAGGATGCCATCAGACTCAGATGACTCACTCACCAAAAAGGTAAGGGGCCACCTTATATACTCATACTATTCTCCTTTGTAGGTGAGGCTTTCCTGAAACTAGAGAGAGTCATTTGATATCATCAATATAACTGATTTGCTCTGGACTTTAAATCTGTGTAATTTATACATATGTTTACATATAAAATAAATTTTATGTATTTCTTTTTTAACAGTTCTGTTGACATGTAATTTGTGTACCATACAATTCAGTGTTTTAAATATATTAAAGAGTTGTGCAATCATTACCACAATTAATTTTACAACATTATCCTCGTTTTTGTAACAATTATTATTAGCTCTTCATTAAGGTCCAACCTCCCCTGTCATTACCCTAAGGCACTATTAATCTACTTGCTATTACTATAGATTTACCTAACTTGGATTTTATATAAAGAAAACCTACAAAACAACTGCAAAAAATAAAATACAATAAAACCTCAATCCAAGATAAAGTAGAAGATAACAGTAACTAGAACAGATTTCAAAGTAGTAAAAAGAGGGAAAAATGATATGTTATTTTTTAAATTTTAATAATTTTTTTAACTGGGGGATCTTACAGCTTTTATAACCATCCATACACCAATCATATCAAGCACATTTGTACATATGTTGTCATCATAATATGTTAAATCTTAACCTGCAGTAATCCACTTTCCAGCATACTCTGTTTTTGTTTGTTTTTTTTAAAATCATTTTATTGGGGGCTCATACAACTCTTATCACAATCCATACATTGTGCCCATACTCTGTTTTAAGGCATGAATATTGAAATGTCTAGTCCATGGTCCAAGGAAATTCAATGGAGGCTTAATCCTGATGAGGACTCTGCAAATATAGATTTTGGGATTTCAGTCATCCAATGCCTTGTGCAAATGGGGTGCTCAGAATTTAAACTCTAATATAATTTCCTCCTCTGATCTTGAATATTTATTATTTACAATCCTTGGATCACATGGGCTTGTGTTCTCCTTCCATGTAGAATATGCTGACACCTCACTAAGATGACTGCTTGTTTTAAGACAAGCCTTTAAGAACCCCACAGGATATTCTTTCTGATCACAATCACCATGTGATTCTTCACTACTTAGTCGTAGCAACAATATCATCAGTTCATAAAGGCAAGTATCCACATTTTTGAGAACTAATTATTTTGAGGACTAACTATTCTTAAATTTGGGCTTGAGGATTAAGTGCAACCTCAAAATTCATTCATATATCTTCAATTCATACATATCCCTGGTCCACTTTAGTAACAATATTATTACCTTGTTGAGAAATAACTAACTTTCATGAGACATTTGGTAATTTTAATAATAGTATCATTAATCAAGCAAATGGTATAAAACTTAAAAGTACTATTGAGGGAAGGAAAATATACATATATAGGAAAGCTTTCTAAACTAAAATATATGGGATGATCACTTACACGGTTTAAAAAGTAAGTATATGGTAGTCTTAAAAAAGCAAGCTATTTGAACCAAACCCACTGACTCCCAAATCTAAAATCTTGGGACAGCAGTCCTCTGCTTCTTCTCAGTCGGGGGTATTTCAGCTTTAAGGCCAAAGGAATATTTCAGTTCCTTTAATCTGCAGTCCGTCTGTTTAAGATGAAGTTCATTTACTTAGATTATCACATCAAATCATGCTCGTGTAGCATGAAGAATGCTATATAATGCTATATACCTCGAAAAGACAATCTAAATCTAGGTAATCTATAGCACATAGCCAGGGTCACCAAGGGCTGAAAGTATATTAGATCAAAATGCATGATTTAGCAGCATAATACTGGGTGAATTCTCGCATTAGGTGTATATATAAGTAACATTAAATGATTCCTCAGGGGCAGGCAGCTCCTCCTAGGTTTAGCCGCCAACAGAAATGAAATGTCTTTCTTAAGGCAGACAAACACCCCCATCTTTTCTTTTTTTTGTCCCGGTGCTATTTTCTTTTCTTTTTTTTTTTTTAAACATTTTATTAGGGGCTCATACAACTGTTATCGCAATCCATACACACATCAATTGTGTAAAGCGCATTTGTACATCATTCTCAAAACATTTTCTCTCCACTTAAACCCCCGACACCACCATCTTTGGGCAATGAAATCCCATTGAAATTCACTGATCGCCATTATAGGAGTATCTATTAATTTGCGGTGACTGTGGGAAAATGCTCTGTGGCAGGAACTATTTGTCCTGTCTTCCCCTGCTAAACAAAAACTAACCCCAGCTGAAGTTAGGGCTCCTCTGAAGAAGGGATATTAAAGATGTGCAAATTAAGATAATAATGAATGGCTTACAAGGTTTAGAAAGGCACACCACCATATTCTTTGGGGAACTAGATTAAATGACCATATGACCTGAGAGCAGATGCTGTCTTTGTCCATATAGTAATATTTTCATGCAATATTTGCCCATTTGACTAACTTCACTCAGTGTTCTCTAGGTCCATCTAAGATGTGAGGTACCTTGAACTTTCGTTGATGGTTTTAATTATGCATAATATTCCATTCTTTGTGTGTACCAGGATTTCTTTACCGATTTAGGGCTGCTTTTATTTTTATGTATTTTTTTTAGCTACTTTGCTGCCATGAACAAGAGAGGGCCTGTGTCTGTTCTTACATCTCTCACTTCTTTAGGTACATTACCAGCAGAGGTGTTACTGGATCATATGGGATTTCTACTCTGACTTGTTTTAGGTAACACCATATTGCTTTTCACAACAGTTGTACATATGTACAGGCTCACCCTCAGTGTATGACAGTTCAGTTTCTTTGCATGCTTTCCAGCATTTGTTGTTTTGTGTTCTTTGAATTGGGCTGTCATTGTTGGTGTAAGGTAATACCTCATCCTTATTTTGATGTGTCCCCAACACTCACAAGGGTCCTCATGAGCCACTTTGCAATTGTGGAAAATTTTAAAGACAGACAGTGGGGCACAGGGGCTCTTTGTCTCATGTTAGGACAGAGAGAGAGAATGTATTTTCCAATGGGTTTACATAGTGGGGCTTACAGATCTTTCATAAGGCATGCATGTCATACAGCTAACACATCATAGATGAATAACATAATAGACAAACAAGTGAATCTTCTTGACCTAGTGCTAGTTGACCTTGAGCCCTCCAGAGCCCTCCTCGGGGTTGCTACATTTATGGTTGGTTGGCTATAGAACCTGATTGCTTTTATCTATGGAAACCCTTTAGGCATTGTGAAGTATCCAGACACAGGAATGATTCATCTTATATGGTAGCATCTTTATGACAGTTCTTTCAGGGGAGGTTATTGGAGGGACTGTGTTCAGTCATGAGAATGTATATTAAAACTTATTTACATCTCATAACTGTGAGAGTCTTCTCCCACCAGAGTTGGCTTTCCAGACCCGTAATTATGAGCATGGATGATTTATATTCTCATCCCGTCCCTCAGTTTATTACAGTTTTCCCTTTTGTATTATGTATTAAATTTGAAAGGGCTACATAGGTGGTCTGACTTTCCTCCACACGCTGAAACTCTGCAGAAATAGAAAGCAATTACAAGAACCAAAATCATGACTAAAGCAAAACAGTGAATCCAGAGCCAAATCTGTGCAATCAACTTTGAACCCATGCTCGTGGATCCAAGTCTTCTAAACTATTTACCAATTGCTTGATGGTGTCTGGGCTAGGGGACATTTTCAACCCATCTTTAAAAGTATTGAAGACATCCTTCTTCAGCTGTTATATATCTAATCAGATGTTTCCCTTAAATTCCTGCAAATGGCTTCTAATTAAGGATCGATCATGTAAAGTTTCATTATACAGATAAGGGGTTACACCAAATTTGTAACATTTCAATAATATTTCAGCATCAATTGCTGTGTAAGTCCATAAACTGGTAACAGCTATTTTCTCTTCCAGTTCATTGTCCACCTTTGTCTATGTGACCTAGAGTCGGAGAGCTTGTATAAAATGTTCAGTTTTGATAGAGCCCTAGGGTTTCATTCTGGTGAGAGTAGCTGTGGTATAAGCAGTCATAAGTTTTAAAAAGGCAACAATTGACTGTCTCACGAATCAGTGGCATCTTACTGAAGTTTGTGATAGTTTCGACAATGGCAGGAGAGGTCTTTTTGATGTCTCTGCTCTAGGAGAAATGACTGAACTTGGTATCTGCCAAGTCAGTCCATGAAAAGCTGACACCAAATGGCATTGTTCAGCCTTCATGACACACACAGGATAAATCCAAGGACTGAGAGACTTTTTAATATGGCTATTTTTTTTTTTTTGCTTTTTCTGAATTAATTTATGTCACCAATCTCTTTCCTATAAATGTATAGGGTTAAGTGTGACTACAGGCTTAATTAAGCCATACTACTCTTTAGGTTCTATACATTGTAGGACTTTTTCACTTTGTTATACTTTTTCCTGGTAGCTTCTTGATAATTTTGATCAAAAATTCCAGTAACAATTTGAATACCTTGAGGATTTAGGTTAGATCTTTCTAACATTAGTCCTCCTGTTCCCTCTACTAGGGGTCCCCAGACACCAGTCTTAACAATTGCTGGGACCAGCTGAACTTCTTGTCTGGTTAGATCTACTGCTACATTCCCTCTGGTAGTGGGCTGAAGTGATAAGACCAGTTGATAAGATTGTGCATCAGTTGGACTGGACCTGCACTCTCTGGACTCCTTTCCCTGCTGGGTGGTGTTTCCTAAGGGAACTCTTTCACTGCCAAGGACACTGGCTCGCCCAGTGCCATTAGTCTAAAATTGATTAAACATGCAATAAAGATGCATGTATAGTTACTTGTGATTGGAATGCAAATGTTGGAAACAATGAGGAAGGAATAAAGTGGAAATCTATGGATTTTGTTATAAAATGAAGCTGGAAATGACATGATAGGATTTTCAAAACTAATGACTTGTTCATAGCAAATATCTTTTTTAATTATTAAAAAAGATTATTAATCATTTTATTGGGAGCTCATACCACTCTTATCACAATCCATACATACATCAATTGTATCAA